AGAGAAATAAGAACAAATATGGAATTCATTCTGCTTTCATGGGGGTCCAGTTCTTTATGTTCATGGATTCCAGTCAGCTTGTTACTTTCTCTTCAGACTGTCTGGTCTATGAACTTCAAGTTATACCATTAAATGCAGAGACAACATTCCTATAGAGACTTGACTGCTTAACTTGCTCCCCAAATTTTGTTACCCAATTCCCTAGAACATATACACATATTGTATAGCTATCTAGATATATCTTCTACTTGTTCTGCTTCTCTGGTTGAACTCTGACTGATACAGTACCTGGACAACAGCTGCTTTGTCAACTTTACTCGAATGTTTAAAAGGCAACCAAAACTCATCACGGCCTGTAAATTTTGACTGTTTTCCCAAACTTAGCCATCTCAGCGAATGGCAGGCATTACCATTCATCCTATTCATCTAATTATGAAACTTAAAAAAACAGATGTCTTCCTTTAAACCTCCTTTCCTTCTAGTCTCCATGTAATCCATAACTAAATCCTATGAACTATACCTCTTAATTATCTCTGAAGTATCCACCATTTTCCATCTGCTACCAGTAACTTGGCCTAAGCTACTATTATCCCTTGAGTGGACTATTTCAAGAGCCACCTAATTCTTCTACTGACACATTGTGCTAGCCTTCAATCAGTTCTCTATTTTGCAAAGTAGTGATGCTTTCTAAAAACAATTATGATCACTCATGGACATAGAAAACAGTGTGATGACTGCAGGGGGGAGCGGGCCAGGTGGAGGTGGAGGAGGGGATGGGAAGGATGAATGGTAATGAAAAAAACAATAAAAAATAAAGTAAAAACTGGACAGATACGTACCAAACGTTAACTGTCAATATCCTAGATCATAGAGCTATGGTTAATTTTTTATATTATGTTAATTTTTCCATACTTGCCACAATAAACATGATTTTGTAACAAAATGCTGCTTTAAAAAATGAAAAAAAATGATTATATTGACTTCTGCTTAAAGCACTTCTGCTTAAAGCCTTTCCTATTGGTCTTAAAAGAAAATCAAAATTTTTAACATATTTAACGAAGACATGTGTGGGCTCCTTCCTATGCATATGTCTATCTGCAGCTTCATTTTGTTTTACTCACCCCTTTTTAAAAATTCGTTGAATGTTTCAGACTTCAACCAACCAATCTAGGGCCAGTATGTGCAGTATTTTATGTGTCTTTAATGTACCTCCACCCATCCACAACCTAGTCAACCTTTATTCTTCCTTCAAAACCGGGCCAATATCAAACTTGGAAAAAAAATGTGAGAAATTTACATTACTGTCCCCCAATAGATGTTGACATTATAAAATTATTCATACAAAAAATTTCTATTACGTAACTCTCTTGGATCTAAATTCAGATAATTCAGTTGGACTCCTGGATATAAAGTCAGTTAAACATCTCTCTTTGATTTAAATTAAGATTTGTACATAACTCTCCTAAAATTTAGCCATTTTTTATTATGGCACTCCTAAACACAAATTTTTGATGAAGAGATTTTAAGGAATTAAACTTAGAGGTAAAACCATATAACAAATCACATTTGCAGTACTTTAACAAGAACAACGTGATTAGTGATTTGTATTTTTTTGTACTTTAGTAAGCTCCTTGAGGGAAGGAAATTAATTTTGTTATTCATTTCTGCATCTAAAAGCATCTTATACATTGTTTTGCAAATGATAGGTGCTCAATTAATGTTTGGTACACACAATTTATTTCTATTATAGTATGACTCACAGACTGTGTTTGTCTTTATTTTCTAACTTGTTCATTTGTTGCCTACCATAAATAGAAGGCAAGTTTGTGAAGGAAGAGTTTGTCTACCTTGTTTACAGCTGTAATGTTAGTTCTTTGACTAGTGTCTACCGCTTAACAGATATTTGTTAAATAAATAAATAGCATATGTAAAAATATCTGGCCTTTAGTAGGCACTCAATAAATTGAAAAATACATTTTGGGATAAGTACAAGTTCAAAGTGAGAAAGAATTTGGTTAATTTCCAGCTTCTCTTCCCATTTATAGAGAAAAAGTTCTATTCAAGAAGAATATATCTTAGAAACTGAGAAACATCCATCAGAAACGTTTCATAGACATTGCTATTTCTCTGCAATAGCAATTTTTATTATCCAATGCAGCATAAAAAAAGTCTCACTGAATGACAAAAAGCATTATCTGAAGCACAGGAGGTGTTTTAGAAGGTAGGTTTAGACACAGCGTAATATGATTACATTGTTTTGAAGTTTCATTACTTTTTCATCAGAATGAATATAAAACCTAGAATATTAATACAATGAAGATTGGCAGTGGATGACCCCACAGAGGCTGCTCCAAGTTGCTGATAAACATGGGCTACGATACCTCCAAATTTCAGTCATTTGTATGTGTCTTGTCTGTAATCAGGATACACAAGTGATGGCACATGAATTTTCTCTGGTCATTGTTATTCAACACCACCACCTACCATTGCCGGCAACCTTAAATGGGCTGTCTCATCTATCAAATCTCCCCTTCCTATACTCAGTATCTGGAAGATCAACAAAGCTTGTAAAATCAGCATTTTATTTGGTCCTTGAGAGGGTACTGCTTTTGACATGATGAGAGCTCCTCCTTTCCCCACCACTCCCCATGACAATTTATAGTCCATTCTGCATTTGACTTTTGCAAATACCTTTCCTCTGATATAATGAGGCCCCCTGGGGTTGAAAGGTGAAAGGAGTTCCAAGTAATGCCATTTCCTTTTGATGCCTTCACCTGAGTGCCTTGTGGAAGATTTAATACCAACTCTATTCCTCTGATGCGTATGACAATATAATATTCTCTGATTGCATCTGTTATGTCTTTGTACAAGGAGGAAAAGTATTCTTTACAGCAAGACTGCAAAATTATACACATTACAGCTGAATATTCAGGTATTAAAATAGGTTTTCCTCCTTGTGAGGAAAAGAAGAACCTAGAAATTGTTTTTGTTTTTATTTGGTATTTCATCTACCATGGGCCTGAAGGAGTTGGAGTGTGTGATTTTACATGTGTTTCAAAATGGATATTTAAAAGGAATACCTTGAAATAGTGGTGCAAAAGTTCCTTCTAGTAAACAATGAATAAATCCATGTTATATCATTTTTAGTGCTATTAAGGGGAAAGTTAAAGGGTGATTGAATTGCCTTTTCTTTTAAACCAGAATCTGTTTTGCTTTTTATCACTTTTATTCATTTATAGATGAGCAGAATTATGCCCAATCCATGTAGTATTTAGAGAAGTGCATTTTCTGGGTATATGAAAATATATGACTGCGTATCTGTCCGAATTTGACCATCTGCATTAAAAGGTAGTGTTGTTGGTGGAAATGGGGTTCTCACAGTGTTGCGAGAATAGCATTTCAGGGACCATGCACGGGAGGCTGAAGTATGGTGGTAAGAATTATTGAAGCTGGAGCAAACACAAAGGACGGTCCGAGGTCCAGCTCCAACCCACTGGAGAAGAAGTCCAGCCTTATCTTTACCAATCCCAGAAGAAAGGCCAGGGTCCAGAAAGTCTGTGCCATTGGTTTAGTCCATGTCAGAGCTTAGTCCAGGTCAGTCTCTGTCCCCATCCGGTCAGCGTGGTCTCTGCTTCTGGCTGCACGCTGGCTGGCGCTGCATTGCTGTATTCAGGTTTATGCATGGAACATGCACACAAGGCCTGTGCGTGGGGCCCACGTGGCTGCCGGGCCTGCGTGGCTGCTAAGCCTGCAAAACTATTATGGAGCAGGAACATACAAATAAATGGGCAAATAAATGTGTGTTACTAGGAGAGAATGAGAGGGAGAAAGAGGAAAGAGAGAGAGAGAGAGTGAAGAGAGAGACTTTACCTTTGTTAGACTCTGAGTATATTATCTCGGTCTTGGGAAAGACTAGGTGCCCTTTCAAAATAGCAAATCAATTTCCCAATTCCTCACAGGTTTGTGGTAGGCCTCCCCCTTAGCCAATCCATTTCCTAGACCTTCCAAACTTCTGTGTCCCTTATCCAATCCGATCCTTTTCCCAGGCTTGACTACTCCCCTTATGAGGGCCATCCTAGCTCCCACAGAGCAGGCCTCTCTGTAGAAGGACCTCCCCCAGTTCCATCTTGGCTTCTACTGGGCATACACCCAGCATAGGAATTTCCTCTTTATTGTTGTGGTAATCATGACTAATGACCAGTAATGATCCTTCCTAACCATAGTGATTAGGTCCTGAGGGCAGAGGACACAGCAGTCCCCTGGGGAGTATGTGAAGCTGTAGCTTCCTAGTGGAGCAGGCTTATTGTCTGATTCAGTTCCCTACTTTATTATGCTTAATGTCTGATCCCTTTTGCTCCCATCCTCTATTAGTACTAACTAGCTGCCTTTGCTAACAGTAGGAGCTTCTGCAGAATGTGTCATTTGCAGAATGCCAGGCACCCCATAGCCAGTAAGTAAATATAAACTAAATGCAACTGAAAATGGCTCTCAATCATTAAAAAATAAAACCATTTATTAAGCATCCAACTGTCTTTCCAAAGTGGTATAATTCATTTCCTCTACTCTTGCTTATAAAGAATCCATCATTTCCAGTAACCAATAATGGCACAGACCTGCTGATAAATGGCAATGGTCACATAAATAAATACATAGATTTTGTTTTATATAAAGATGATGTCATGTTCATGAGGAATGTCCTCATTAATAACTCCTTTTTACCTAGTTTTCCTCATGGAAAGACAGATGGCAGCATTCATTTCTAGATGCCTGACTCAAAAATTTTATTCCTCTAAAGCTGCCTATTCCAGATGGAAGTGAAATGTACTATTTTGGTCTCACAACATGCTCATAATCAACAAGTCCAATTAAGATAGTGGCCCCACACACTCCTTTGTCCACCCATGTGCCTACTATTTGGCATCTAATTATACCAAGAAGTCTATCAATTTGTATCTTTAAATAAATACATGTGTGCACACACAATGAAAATAATAACAACAGTGCTTGCTTTGGCAACACATATACTTAAGTTGGAATGATACAGGGAAGATTAGCTTGGCCCCTGTGCAAGGATGACACGCGAATCTGTGAAGCGTTCCGTATTTTAAAAAAGAAAGAAAATAATAGCATCCAAAATGCCTATCTTCTCACTAACTTTGTTATTGAGTTCAACCTCAGCTTCACAACTACACAGAAACAAAATACTTGAGAAGGGAAGAAATATAGTTCTGCCTATTTGTATCCTCTTGGTCCTGGAAGAGCTTATCAATGATTGTACATGCAAAGCTGTATACGTAGTTCTCGTGAGCTTAATATGAAGCTTTAGGATAAAACTAAATGACAAAAATTATAAAATGTAACAAATTTCAAAATTAATAATTAAAATTATTTTTTTTTGAGTGTGCGATGGATAGGAGCATTAATAGTCTCAAAAAAGTAAGGGATGATCATTTTACCTATCCTTATTCCATTTCCTGATCTTTCTTGGCCACAACTGAAATGTTATTAAATAGCAAATTAAAACATTTCACACTCAAAATGAATAATTAACTCTGCTCTATAGTCCATTTAAAATAATTGGAAAATTAGTAGGTTCTTCTATACTCACCATAGCCAGACTCTATGATATCTAAAATGAAGATCTATGCCACTGTGCAAAAGCCCTCAATGTTTTCCTCTTGCATCAAAACAAAAGTACAAGATTTTTGCATAGTATGCAACAAACTTTCTAATATATTTTCTTACTTGGATCCACTCTTGACTGCAAACTTTGTTTTATGAAATAAGTACAAAGACTGAGGTTCAGGCCTCAAGTTTTCATGTCTTCCACTATGAATAGCCCAAATAAAACAATAAAGTAGACTCAGTTTGTCCTTGGTGGTTTTTCTCTGTCCAGAGTCTAGCTTGAGATATTTAGCCCTATCGCCAGGTTCACCCATTTTATAATGAAGTCATCACTGTTCGCTGCCGATTTGACACAGTGACAAGAGAATAAAAGAATCATAGATTTTTAGAGACAGAAGAGAAATTAGAGACTATCAGGCCCCTAATTTTCAGATGTGGTTATTAAAGTCTAGAGAGCTAATGATATCTAGCAGCAGAGTCGAGACTGGAAACTATGTCCCCGGACTCCAGGATCAGTGTGGTGTCTATTTAACCACACAGTCATGTGTGACCCAGTGTGACAGTGAGGCTAAGTGCTCTTACTAATTTTACCCAGTCAAAAGGCTTTTTAGCATTTAGCTTTGTTCCATTCCAGACCATAGATCTGTCCAGCACATCTGTATTGGTTTTCAGAGTATCAAACATCCTGCTAATAAAGTTCGAACTGTCTATATCTGGTGGTATTTGATTTAACATACAACCAATGCCTACCAGAAAGTGTACCAGGTACTGAACATCAATAACTAAATTGTATACTTCTGCTCTGAGGTAAGTCAGGAAAACACAAGGACAAAAGATGCTTTAGATAAGTTTGGAATGAAGGTGGTAAGGTAATCTGTTTAAAAAATTTTTTTTCAGTAGAAAAGATGTAGTCTTATAAAGCATGAGGGTATAGTTGGAGGCTTGAAGAGAGAATCTATTTTGAAGGGGAAAACAAAAACCCCAGCACGATAGGAGTGAATTCGAGGGTTACCAAGCAGAGCTAAGATTCTAGCTGCACTCTCTACCCTGGAACAGGATAAAAGGAAAAGAATATTGTCATTGCTAAGTCCTTTCACTGTTAAATCAATTATATTGATACTGTAAGACCAAGTACATTGCCAAAGTAAGTCCAACATACAATCGTGGCACAAAGGAGTCTTTCAAAAGCTTGAAAGAGTGCATTGTAATATTTAGTCATGAGTTCCAAGTGAAAAAGAAAGAAAATATAATTTAGAAGACTTGTTAGGAAGAAGAATTTAGTAGGATTAGTGTCTAACAGCAGTAAGAGCTTCAAGAAAAAATTCAGTAGAAAGGAAGAAAGGATGTGGTAATCATCTAAGAGAGAAGAATTTTAGAAGTTTGAGATGATGATAAATTATGGGTCTGAGAATGGCTCATTGAGATAGAGTGATGGTGAAATGCTTTTAAGGAGAAGTATTCATGGAACTGTACATTAGAGCACTAAATAGGCCATTAACATGACCCAGTCCCACACTCTGAGCATTAGGAACACAATGAACGACGTGGACGTTAGTGGAAGTAAACTAGGAGGCTAGGGAGGAAGTATGGTTATTTATGCACCAGACTCTGTCTTGAGCCCTGGAATATGAGGTAAATGGGAGCATCATTCTAGTAAAAAACAAGGAAATGAACAACATATTTTTAAGGTAGTGATAACTGTTATAAAAATAAAGCAAGCAGTGGAATGAAGAATGACTGGATGAGGAACACACTGGAACAGGAGCAGCTCTCTAAGGAGGCAACATTTGCGTTGAGGCATGAGCAGCCAGCCAGAGCTGGGGAGGAGCTGGAGAAAAACACTGAGGCAAAAGCAAAAATGTGTACAAAATCCCTGACACAGGACTGTGTTTGCTGTGTTTAAGAAAGAAGGCCAGCATGGCTGAAATGTAACAAATGAGGCAGAGACTGATACGAGGTAAGGTCAGAGAAGAAGAGAGGGTCAGATATTTGTGGGCATGATTACCCCTAATAATAAAGATTTTATATGTCATTCTAAGTACAACTGAATATCACTGGTGGCTTCTAGTGGGTGGGATTAACTCCAGGCTAGGAAGGATTATTAAACAGAAGTGAAAAATCACATTCTCAAAATAATAGGTAAAAAGTAAGAGAATACTCTGCTTTCTACTGGTCCCAAGATATTGAGAGAGGGAAAAGGGGGAAAAGTGGGGAGATAGGAGAATTAGGAGTCAGTTTAGTTTCCCATAACCTTCTTGCATGTACAGAGTATCCAAAAATCAGTAACAAGCCAGAGGCACAGAGAAGCGCCAGCTCCTTAGCGTTCAGCTTCCCCACTCAGAGCAGCAACGGGCAAAGGTCAGATGGAAGCGGCACAGAAAAGGGAAATCATCCCACTGCTGAAGAGTTCCAAACAAAAGGCTCCTGCCTCTTTATGGACCCCCAAGCTTGGGGAGGGCAAGGAGTAGAAAGGTGCTGAATCCAAGTAGAGAAAATACCTCAGTTAAGGCCCCTGAGGTGGAGGCCTCTGAATGGAGGCACCAGGGCGGGACCGTAGCTCAGGATGCACCTGAGCATGGCTGCACCAGGGTTGGGGTGGGTGGGCACGAGACTGCGAACCTCTCCAGGGAACTACAGTGCGATGGATACGCTGCAAGTGCGGAGTGGGGAGGGCGGCTGCTCCCCATGAGGCCTGCCAGGCAAAGCCTGGTTGGACCGAAAAGAATACACATCAGATTCTGTCTGGCCTGGAGCCTGACTCATCAGAGAGAAATCTATTTATTTAGTTAGGATGAGAAAAAAAAATACCCCGAGCCATGAGAAGGAAAGGAGGAAATAGCTAATGATATGTCGGAATGACAGTATCTCTGAAATGCAGCCTTCCAGAGGGGAAAAGAAGGGCTGTTTGTGTTAAGCCTGGGGGTCTACTGAGCATGGGACTCAGACTTTTTGTGACAACTCCACTATATTTCTAGCTTTTGAGGAAGAGACTTCTTCATCTTTGGTTCCCTGGCGTTAGCCCAATTCATAACAAATGTCCAATTCAAGATGAATCAATGAATGACGGCTTTGGCCTCTGTAACAGTGCTCTCCAGAGAGGTCTTTAAAGTGAAATTTGAAATTAGCAGGGTCATAAACTCAGACGCCTTCAAAATCCAAGGAGGCAGGTAAAGTATATCTGTAAAGTGGCCAAGTGTGAGACATGAGGGTAGAAAAGGTGGTCAATAGGAGAATTCATGATCAACCTGTAGGCATTTAATTCAATGAAAACAGAAACACTGTGTGGACTAAAGAAGACAGCCCTGCTCTGCGGTCTGGTGGCGGCCACCGTAGAACCCATTACCCTGAAGCTGATCTCTAAGAACAGCAGAAAAATAAATATTTGCCCAAATCCCAGGCACACTAAGTTTTCATCTACTCATTGACTTATCAGTCATTCATTCATCCACCTATTCATTCAACAGCTATTTATTGAGTATCTACCAGGTATTATTTTAAGTGCTGAATGAAGAAACCACCACACACAAAACACACAAAAACCCTGCCTTCACAGAGGTTCTATTCTAGAGAGGTGAGACAATTAAAAACATAAATAATACACTATACTACATGAGGATAAAAAAATACAGGGAAAAACACAGCACAGAAGGACATATAGGCAGATAAGGTAGGGGAGGTTTCCATTTTAAATGGAGCCACTAGAGAAGACCCCACTGAGAAGGCGACTTAAGAGGAAAGGCCAGCCATGAGGGGCAAACTCGTGACTATCGAGGAGGAAGTGTATGAGGTGGAAGAAATGGCAAGTGGTCAGTGGTTGAAGATGGAAGAGGGAGAGGCCTGTTGAGCAACAGTAAGAAGGCCAGTGTGTTGGAAGCTGAGTAAGTGAGGAGTGGAGGAGCAGGAGACGAAGCTGGAGATAGAGGAGGGGACCAGATCATGTGTGACTTTATGAACTGTTGTAAACACTTTGGCTTTTGACCTAAGGGAGATGGGAAGCTACTGGAGAGTTCTGAGCAGAAAGAGATGGCAAGATCAAGATCTAACATGCACATTAACAGGATCATTCTGATTAGGGATAATGGAAGATTGGGAACAAAATTAGTAGCAGAGAGACTAGTGAAAAGGCTATTAAAATAACCGAAGCAAGAGATAATGAAGGTTTGGATGTGGTAGAGGTGACAAAGGCAAGTCACATTTGGAACATATATTGAGGGGAGAGCTGACAAGATTTGCTAATAGATTGGATGCAGAGTATAAGAAAAGGAGATAAGTCAGGGCAAGTCTAAGTTATTTTCTGTTTTGTTTTAGAAATATTGCTGCTTGACATTAACCGAGATGAGAAAGATCTAGGTGGAGTAAGTTTGGGAAAGAATATAGTTAGGGTGATCCATTTACTACATTTGGAGTTTTCCAGGATGCATCTGCAGTGCTGTGACCTGTCTTTGGAACTTCAGCTACAAAGGCCACATCATTCATTGTATC